AAGCACTCTATGGGAAAAAGATATGGCAGTCTGCTTCTGTAAAGATTACAGCCTTGGAAACCCAAGGGCCTGGGCCACTTCTACTCTGTCCTATATGGTTGCTATGAATAGGAATCAACTTGATAGCAACGGGTTTGGGTTGTTTTTTTTTTTTTTTTAATTTGAGGGATAGTTATTATTGTTTTATAAAGATTGCCCAAGAATACTACCCTAGAGGCAGCACCTTCTGTATCTGTCCTCTAACCTACTGGTATAGTACCATATACATGTAGGGTACTGACTGGTACCTTTTAAATGGAGACAGCAGAGAGTATATCACTAGAATTGGTATAGAAGATCGGACAGAGGAGGATAGTGGCTGGGGAGGCAGTCACTGAACTAGCCATTCTTCCTGTATTTCTTTGATTCATACTTGCTTTCTTCTTGGCCACTGTCATATCGTCCTGCTCTTGTGGGTTTAGTCTAAACATTGATATGTAAGAGTTTAGTACTTGTTGAATAAGGCAAAGAAAACTGGTCTTTCTGTATCCATCTTTCTCCTCCTCTGGTCTGTTCCTGAATACAACAGCCAGAGTAGGCTTTCTACAGCATAAGTTAGATCATGCCATTCCTATGCTCAGAACCCTCTAGTGGTTCCGCATCACATTCAAAGTCAAAGCCAAAGGTCTTGCCATGATGTAGAGAGCCAGGCATGACCAAGGCCCTCTCTCATCCCCTACTTCATCTAGTACCCCTGCTGTTCATTCTGTCCTTCTACACTGGCCTTCTTGCTGTTTTTTACAACAAGTATGCTGTTCCTTGAACCAAGAATACTCCTCATAGAAACCCGCAGGGCTCACCCCCTCACTTTGCTCAATAATGATCTCAGAAAGACCTTCCCTGACTGCTATGTTCAAAATCTTAACCCTCCACCCCTCCCACACTCCCTATCCTTTCCCTTGCCCTGCTTAAGTTCTCTACATAGCACATAGTAATCTTAACAGATCATATAATTTACTTATTTTTCATGTATCTTCTCACTACAATACAAGTTCCATGAACATGAGGGATTTTGTCTTTGCTTACTGCTCTTTCCCCAACTCCTAAAATGAAGCTGGCCCCCTAGTAAGTGCTCATTGAATATTTGTTGGTTAATAAATGAGAGCATCCTTTTGGTATTACCGTTTTAGATAAATCAACTTCAGTGTACTTTCTGTAAGTCTGAAAGAAGAGAGGAAGTTTCATTTGACTTTTCAATAAAGTCACTCCTTGATAAAGCCACCACTGAATCCACTGGGACCAAAAGCATGGTATTGTAGACACTATGGGTGATACTTGAGAGGTTTTGGAACTTGTTCAGTAACTCAGCTGATATATTGTTGTTAGCTGCCATCAAGTCAGCTTCCGACTCTTTGCAACTCCCTATACAATGGAACAAAACGCTGCCCACTCTTGCACCATACCATCCCCATGATTGGTTGCAGATTGGACTATGGTGATACATTGGGTTTTCATTGGCTGATTTATTGGAAGTAATTGCCTGGCCTTTCTTGCTAGTCTGTCTTAGGCTGGGATGTCTACTGAAACCTGTTCAGCATCATAGCAACACACATAGCAACACACAAGCCTCCATTGACAGATGACGATGGGAGTACATTACTGGCAGTAATCAGACCCATGTCTCCTTGGAAGGCAAGAATTCTACCACTGAACCAACACTGCTCTCTCAGCTAATAGAGACCTAGCCTAAGATTGGCCACTGGAGCTAAAGAAAGAATGATAGGAAAAGTATTCTTGGTTCACTCTCCTCATTTGTTTAGAAAGCATGGTGCTTACTTCAAGGCACAGTCTGTGAGTATACCAGGAAAAAAATAGTTGTAAGGATGACTAATTAGATTCATGGTAACTTTGTCTTTTAAATTAAATATGGTATAGCCTTTAAGTGCATGAAAACCCACAGTTGACTTGATAAGCCAATAGGATAGTAATGACAAAAACGTTTTCTCCCCCTCAAAGGTGTTTCGTGGGACACCCTCCCAGATGAGCTGCTCTTGGGGATCTTCTCCTGTTTATGTCTCCCTGAACTCCTGAAAGTCTCCATGATCTGTAAGAGGTGGTATCGCCTAGCGTAAGTAAATTTCACCCCCATTGGCATATATGGAGGAGAGAAGGAATATTTACTTTCCTTTTTGGTCTGCTAAGTCCAAAAATGAAGCAAACCTTGGTATTTTTATGGCTCATACTTTTATGTTTCATAGTGGAAGAGAGAATACTCGTGGAGGCAGAAACATTGCCCCATTTCTGAAAGCCTCCATTCCCTGAATCCAATTAAGCACATATTTACTGAGTGCTGACGATAGGCCCAGCAGTGAACTCAAAGCAAGGAAAGCATAGAGGAGTGGGCATAAGAGCTTAACTCACCCAGAGCACAAAAGCACAAGTGGCAAAGGCTGAGTTCACACTTGGGTTCTTTCCCCACTGGACTCCCACCCAGCTTACCAGGAGTGAGGCACCTCAGTCTCTCATATAGAAGATGAGGATGATGGTACCGTCAGTAAGGGCAATCATGAGGATGAAATGTAAAGATGCCAGTACAGTATCCAGCCTGTGGAAGCCAACAGCTGTTGGTACTCATGTGGGCACCACCTTTCAGATGTGGAAGATGAGCTGGGCACGCAAAGTCCTGGTGAACTGGGAAGGCACTAATATGCCTAAAGCAGAAATAGGCCTTATTTTTCAGTCTGAACTTTTTCTACCCCTCCCCGTCCCATCTTCATTCCCATGCTGTCGCCCTGGCCATTATTTGCTTTGTGTTTAAAGGCCATCTTTCTCAATCCACATATTTAAGATTCCCTTTGTGAGTCACAAGGAGCCCTTCCCTTCCAGGGTGCAAGGAAATAAGACTCTGTTATGGTTTGAATTGTGTCGCCTTAAAATATGTGTTGTAAATCCTAACCCTTATACCTGTTGGAAACAAAGAAGAATCATCGGTAGTTAGAAAATATGGCCTTGGTGATAAAAATAATGCTGAAGATCGCATGATGGAATTTTGTAAGACCGGTGACTTACATCGCAAATACCTTTTTACAACAACACAAATTGCAGCTATACACATGGACTTCACCAGACAGAGTACACAGGAATCAGATTGACTACATTTGTGGCAAGAGGTGATTAGAGAAACTCAAAATCTTCAGCCAAAACCAGGTCAGAAACTGATTGTGGAACAGACCATCAACTGCTTATATGCAAGTTCAAGTTGAAGCTGAAGACAATTAAAGAGAAGTCCACGAGAGTGAAAATATGACCTTGATTATATCCCTCCTGAATTTAGAGATCATCTAAAAAGTAGATTTGATGTATTAAACACCAATGACCCAAAACCAGAGGAATTGTGGGATGACATCAAGAACATTCATCCATGAAAAAGAAAAAGGTCATGAAAAAGCCAAGAAAGGAAGAAAAGACCAAAATGGATGTCAGAAGAGACTCTGAAACTTGCCCTTAAATGGAAGAATACAGTCTGCAGTATGGATTACATCTCAATATAAAGAAAACAAAAATCCTCACAACTGGACATATAAGCAGCATTACGATAAATGGGGAAAAGATTGAAGTTGTCAAAGACTTCACATTGCTTGGTTCTACAATTGATGCCAATGGAAGCAGCATTCAGAACATCAGACGACATATAGCACTGGGCAAGTTGTCTTCAAAGGTCCTCTTTCAAGTCCTGAGGAGCAAAGATGTCTCCTTGAGCACTAAGCTGGACCTGACACAAGCCATGATATTTTCAGTTGCCTCATATGTAGAGAGCTGCACAATGAATAAGGAAGATCAAAGAAGAACTGATGCTTTTGAGTTGTGGTGCTGGCGAAAAATGCTGAAAGTACCATGTTGTTGTTGTTATTGTTGTGTGCCGTTGAGTTGTCTCCAACTCATAGTGACCCCTCCCTGGGTTTCTGAGGTGGTATCTGTACGGAAGTAGATTGCCCAATCTTCCTTCTGGAAAGTACCATGGATTGCTGAAAGAACTAACAAATCTGTCCTGGAGGAAGTGCAGCCGGAATGCTCCTTGGAAGTGAGAATGGCCATACTTTGTCTCACCTACTTTGGTCATGTTATCAGAAGGGACCATTCCCTGGAGAAGGATGTCATGCTTGGTAAGGTGGAGGGTCAACGAAAGAGGGGAAGGCCCTCAACGAGGTGGATTGACAATGGCTGCAGCAATGACCTCAAGTATAGCAGCAAGGATCGCGGAGCTGGTGTGGAACCAGGCAGTGTTTCGTTCTGCTATGCATAGAGTTCCTATGAGTTGGAGATGACTCAACGGCACCTAACAAGAACAACAACAACATATGCATATGAGAGCTGGACAATGCATAAGGAAGCCTGAAGAGTTGTGGTACTGGCAAAGAATACTGAGAGTACTATGGGCTGCCAAAAGAACTAACAAATCTGCCCTGGAAGAAGTGCAGCTGGAATGCTCCTTGGAGGTAAGAATGGCCAGACTTTATCTCACCTACTTTGGTCACGTTGTCAGAAGGAACCATTCTCTGGAGAAGGATATCATGCTTGGTAAAGTGGAGAGTCAGCAAAAAAGGGGAAGGCCCTCAACAAGATGGATTGACACAGTGGCTGCAACGATGAGCTCAGCTATAGCAAGTATTGTGAGGCTGGCACAGGACCTGTCAGTGTTTCGTTCTGTTGTACGTAGGGTCGCTATGAATCAGATATGACTTGATGGCACCGAACAACAACAACATACCTGTGGATAGTATCCCACTGAGGAAAGGGTTTTCTTTGGTATATTAATGAGGCCACATTAGTGTAGAGTGTATCTTATACCTGTGTACTCCTGAGGTATAAAAAGAACAAGTTAGACATAGAGAAACATGCACAAATGGAGGAGAGAAGAGATGTCATGCGAAGATCACCAGGTAACCCAGGAGCTCCTGGGGGTTACAGAAGCTTAGAAAGATTTTCCCCCAGAACAGACAGAACCTTCCACTAGAGCTAATGCCCTGAATTTAGACTTTTAGCCTCCAGAACTGTGAGAAAATTAATTTTGTTCCTTTTTATTTTCTTTTTTGTGATTTGGGTGCAAGTTTACAGAGAATCATTTTCCATTCAACAGTTCATACACATTTTGTTCTGAAACACTGATTGCAATCCCCACAATGGGACCACTTTCTTCCCACTTCTTCCCTGTGTCCTTTCCTATGCATTCCTGCCCTCTGGGCTTTCTCCCTATGCAAATGCTGCCCTTCTGATCTCCCACAGTTAATTGTTCTCAGGAGTGTACTACTTGGTATAATTGTTCACCTTGTAGGTCTTTTGTTTGGCTGGAAGCCAGGGGAGTCAGTTCAATTGCAGGCCTGAAGGGCGAGTAGGGGCCATAGTCTTCGGGGGTTCACCAGTCTCTATCAGACGAGTAAGCCTGGTCTTTTTTATGATTTTGAGTTTTGTTTCACAGGGAAAAATTAATTTCTGAAACCCAGCAGCCCTAAGAATCTAAGACACAGACTCCTAGGTATTCACAGGCTGGGCCATCTGCTTAGAAGAACTACCCAGAGATTTGCTCAGCTGGAATGTGGGACCAAGTGGCACTGGACTTTTCCTCACCCAAATAATCACATCTTGATTTTGATTCTCTGCCAGCTATGAATGAGTCAGCTATGTCCTCTCCATGAGTCAGTTAATCTTCACCTGAGTTGTCATAGAAGTAATAGCTGACATTTATTAATTGCTTGCTGTGTGCCAGGTGCTGCTTTAGCAATGTAGTCCTCCATACAACCTTAAATGACCTTGGTTTCTTATTGCCGCTGTAAGACAGTACCACCTACTGGGTAGTTTAAAATAACAGATTTGTTCTCTCACAGCTCTAGAAGCCAAAAGGCCAAAATTAAGCTGCCAGCAGGGCCAGGCTCCTTCCTTCAGCTCCTGGTTGTTCAGGTGTTCCTTGACCTATGGCAGCATCACTCCCATCTCTGCCTAGGGTTCACCCTGAATCCAGGGTCATCTTGAGATTCTCATTTATGTCTTCAAAGATGTTATTTCTAAGTAAAGTGATATTCTGAGATTGCATTTGGGCATGAAATGGGGGGGGGCACTATTCATCCTACTTCAGTGACCTGAAAAAGTCCAAACCACTGCCATGAAGTTGATACTAACTCATAGCGACCCCCACAAGGTTCCAAGGCTGTAAATGTTTACGAAAGAGATTGCCTCATCTTCCTCCTGCAGAGCATCTGATGGAGTAGAACCACTGCCCTTCTAGTTAGCAGCCAAATGCCTTGGCCACTGAGCCACCAGAGTGTCTTACTTCAGTGACAAACCAAAAACCAAACCCACTGCCATCGAGTAGATTCTGACTCTATAGCAATCCCCATTGGGTTTCCAAAGCTATAAATCTTTATGGAAGTAGATTGCTTCATCTTCCTTCCATGGAGCAAATGGTAGGTTTGAACTGCCAACTTTCTGGTTAGCAATCAAAATGCCTTAGACACTGCCACCAGAGCTCCTTACTTCAGTGACAGTACTTTTCATATCAACTCACTTTTAGAGATCAGGAAATCACAGGGTTAGGAACAGTAATAGCTGAGCTAATAACTGGTAAAGGAGAAATCTAAGGTCTGGGTGACTCCACAACCTTAATTCAAACACTGTAGCTAGTTATGTTCAGTGTAGGGTTGATATAGCTCCTGAATTCATCCTCCTGCAGCTGCTAAAAAACATTTGTTATTTGTAAAGATGGCGGATGTTCCAAAACTTTTCCGTGATTGTCAAGGAATGCTAGGTAAGCTGTAGTTTACCTCTTTGCAAGAGAAAACTTAAGGCATGAGGTTTGAGATGATGAGAGCAGTGCTGTTCTCAAAGCCAAAATGGATCCCAGTCTAGGCAAGAGAATGATACAAAAGCATGTCACTCTCTTAAAGATTTCTTATCTACAGTCTTGCCTTTGTCATAATAGAGGGCAAATCACATACTGATAATTTCCTTTTGTTGTTTTGTTTCATTGAGTTGAAATTCACATGACATAAAATTTCTCATTTTGTTTATTTATTTTCTCCTTATTTTGTCTTCTGGGGTTTTTTGTTTGTTTGGTTTAAACTTTTTATTGTGATT